ATGGTAACAAAGAAAGTCGAGCACATTTTCGCTATCCGTGAAGTCAATGCCTTTTGGCTTTGGCTTTGACTCTGGATATAAGCCAATACAGTGTTGCCTGCATAGCCCCGCAAAAAAAAAAGGCCAGATTCAGCTGGTGCAGTTGACTGTCTGAAGCAGCGCGTTCAGTTTGCGAACTTTTCGACCCGAAACATGAAAAATCGTAAAAATATAGTTGTCATTACGATACTCGTAAAAATGTGCTGAAAATCGGGCACTTTACGATAAAATCGTAAAACTTGGCAGGTATGATGATGTAAAAGATGGTCTCATGATTGCAGAAAAAAATTATTCGGAAATTGAACATTTCGACTAAATTTACTACAGTCGACGTCCGATTTCCTGGACCCTCAAGGAACTGCGAAAACGTCCGGAAAATCGGACAGTCCGGAAAACGAATGCATGTGAAAACACACCTTTTTTTTGTAGGTATTTTTCGCTGACGAAGAGGGTAACGGCTGGAGTACAAAACTCCTATTGCCATTCAGCCAGTGCATCGTTTAGGTGGCTCTGAAAAGAGCCATTTATTTAGAAAGAAAAAAAAAAAAAACGTGACCAGCGCTACCTTACAGGTCAGCACTTGGACGCAAAGAAGTCGCCTTTTTTTTTTTTGCATGGTGTTCTGTTTGCCCGCGATCATGTCTACCTCAATTTCAGTTAATGTCATGTTGCCGCTGTACACCGATGACAGTGTCATCAGTGCTCGCGTCAACTCCGAGCTCGTTGGCTGTGTAGGAGATGGCTCTTCATTCTCGTTGTTGGAGTCCTCGGAATCCTCCGTAACTTGACGAATGATTTTGTCGTCGGTCAAGTCCGCACATAGCTCAAGGTCTTTGTCAGGGTCGGCGAAGCCCTCAAAGGTTATCCCGGCTGGAATCGACACGAGGGCAGCACGTGGATTTTTCAAGGCAACATCCGCGGATGGCAGTTTCGTCGCAAACGCTGTCCACTTGGGGCGAGATGGCCGTTTCAGCGTTGAGTGTGAAGCCCACGTGGCGAAAACAGTTCCGCAGAGTCTCTTGCGTAACCATCTTCCACGGTTCAGCTAGCATGCCGACGGCAGACCTGAGGTCAACAGCGTAGCTTTTCTCGTCAGAGCAGAGCACCATGCGGCTGAGCACGCGTGATTTGTAATGATGCTTCAAGTTCCGAATCACGCCTTAGTCCATCAGCTGCAGGATTGCTGTGGTGTTCGGCAGCGGAAATTCAATCTGTATAGCCTTTAGGTCCTTGGGGTGGCCATGCCCAGCGGAGTTACCCACAAACAGCAGAACCCTTCGATTTTGCTGCTCGAACCTTCTGTCCAGCTTGTGCACGTACGCTTCGAATAACTGCTGCATACTCACACCTTCTTGTTAGCTTCACAGAGAAGAGGCAGAGTCACTGTCACCGTAAAACATCTCGGGTGCTTCGACTTGCCTATTATAGTAACGGAAGCTTCTAGCTGCCTAACATGTTGCTGCCAACGTGGACAGTGAGCCGCTTCTTGCTGTGCTCGCCGCCGTGGCAGGGGTCACCAGCAAATGCAAGCGTTTTCTTTGGCAGCAGCTTGTAGAACAGTCCAGTTTCGTCGCAGTTGAAAATATCATTAGGTGGAAACTGCTGAAGCAAGGACTGCAGCTTTCCATCCCGATATTCGGCGACAACGGAATCGTCAACGGCGCCGCTTTCCTCGCACATCTTGAACTTCAACTCATTGTGGCTCTTGAAATTGTGAAGCCATGCACCGCTGAATTTGAAGTCTTTCACGCCCACCTGAAGCGCGAAAACCTCCGCCTTCTGCTTCAAGATGTCCTCTGAAACCGGGATTTTCTTAGCGATCATGGCACTGAGCCACACAATGAGCGCTTCCTTGAGCTTCGGGTAAACACCCTGGCTTGCATTCTTCTTTCCAGCCGCGGTTAATTTGGCAGCCGCTTTCAAGATCTTCACCTTGTTTTTGATGAAGTCCGAAACAGTTTGCTTCGAAATTTCGAACTCCCTTCCCACCTCAGCCTGCAACCGACCGAGTTGGACCTGTTCAATGATGGCGGCTTTCTTCTCCATCGTGAGCCTACGAGGGGGCTTTGTGCGCTTCGAAGGCACGGACGAAGACAAAGGATCAGTCGGTGCCATCGCTGTAAATGGCGAATCCACTAAAAAAAAAAAAAAAAAAAAAACGCAGCACGAGACAGCTTGGATTTCAGTAGATGCTGAAGGTCTGGAAACGTGATCACTGAAGATAGTGCACAGCAGTCGATCAACCACAGACACGGCCGTAGAGCTGACAAAACAACACGTAAACGAACACAGTGAGGTGTGGCTTGGCTAAGCCGCTAAGCTACGGCTGGCAACGGATTGACACGTGTGGTTTCGAGGTTACGGCAGCCGCGTCATGGCGCTGCGGTTGGTGGCCGTGCTGCTGGCCATACCTGCGATGCGAGTATGGCGGGATCGAGTATATGAAAACAACAAAGTGGTGGCTTTGGGTCGGCGGTTAACAGTACAAAGTTCATGAAATCTGATGCCGAAGGCCATAAGCATCCGGAATTTGACTTTTTAATACATTGACTCTATGGGAAACTTGACGGTGCCACAAATGAGTCTGGGAAATTGAGCATGTTTGGAAATTCTGGCGTCCGTGAAATTGGACGTCAACTGTATTATCCTTGCCGTGTTAAAGAGAAACAGTGCCAAAGAGGAATAACGACTTGGTTTAGATTGATAAACTTCACTATGAGAATTCTCGTGACATAAGTTTCATTGTCATAAGCTCATTATAAGTAGAAAAAATCAAGGTTGAAGTTTCAATTGTTGATGTCACACTAATGTCTCAGCGTGTCGCACAACTAATTTTAAAACATATTTTTCATACTTTCGTGTCATTAACTTGACACAATTTTTTTAAACTTCGTATGCAAGGTCTCAGGCACCCACAAATGACAATGTACACTCAGACCTCGTGGCGAGGAAGTTGCATCTTAATTGAAAATTGTTTGCTATCTTTAAAAATTCGTTACACAATTAAAGTATATTTCTAACACTGACTATTGCAAGACTATTCTTCATTTACTTCATTATAACTGATATTTCAAAGTTCATGACGTCACAGTGTTTGGTGCGGGAATCTCAAGGCGACATTTCCACTTGCATTTTTTTTTTCGCGCATTTCTCGGTTACCAAGCATCATGTAGTAAGAGTAGTGTTTTCAAGACTGTGAAATTGTACTTTACTAAATGCTCGTTTTGCTCTTTAGTGTCCTTTTAAATGGCATGTGGTAGTCTTCGGCTTATTGAGCCTCGAGTCAAAGAAACAGTTAACATTTGTATATATGCAGTAGATTCTCTGATACGAATTTGAAGGGAGCATGCAAAATATTCGTATCATCCCGAGTTTGTATGAACCAAAAACAAGTTAAAGCTAATGAGGAAGGTGAACTTGAACTTTAATAGGGTCATATACTTACTTCTTACTAAAAAGTCCATGATGTTCTTTTGAACTTTCTTGCCTTCACAGGGTCTCAATATGTTGCCGCGGTTTTCTCACTCATGCTGCTGGCACTATAAGGTGCGTTGACACTTGGCAGCAAAGGGAGAGAAAGCGTCAAAACTTGTTGAAAATTCACTCGCTTCGCCGCTGAAGCGGCAGGAAAAACGGGCCACGAAGTTGATACGAAAAAAATTAGTCCAAAGGGTTCACATTCGAGAATTCATGCGAAAATGCCACAGCGACCACAAAATCACATCTGCGCACGGCCCCGCCGCGGTGGTCTAGTGGCTAAGGTACTCGGCTGCTGACCCGCAGGTCGCGGGTTCGATTCCCGGCTGCGGCGGCTGCATTTCCGATGGAGGCGGAAATGTTGTAGGCCCGTGTACTCAGATTTGGGTGCACGTTAAAGAACCCCAGGTGGTCAAAATTTCCGGAGTCCTCCACTACGGCGTCTCTCATAATCAAATGGTGGTTTTGGGACGTTAAACCCCACAAATCAATCAATCAACATCTGCGCACGTCGAAAATATTCACATTAGTTCTGCCCCTCGTATGCATGCCACCACTGCCTCTTCGCTGCTTGAAAATTTATTCCTCGGCATTAAAATCCCCCCCCCCCCCCCCCCCCCCCCCGAGTTCTAGTTATGCATGCAAAGCACTGAAAAGAAACTACACTTTTACAAACATTGTTTCAGGGGATACGTCAGAAGAAACGACACGAGCAGACACGCTGGCAGTGGCGGCAAGGGATTCAGCAGACGGTGCAATAAATAGACACGCTAGGACATGTCGACCCTCAGCTGCCGCACCTTCTACTTCCCGTTGCTCGCAGCTCGCAGTAATCTAAGCCAGGCTCTCAATGAACGTGTCTTTTTCAAGGCCGTGCGCTTTGTCATGCTGCGCGGGTAGTTCGCGATTGTTCGCGATTGTGCAGACATGAGCAACTGCACCCGCCGATGCCTTGGCTGCCACCTTGAATGCATGGCTGGTTGTTTACATCAAGTGGCTTGAGAGCTAGCACAGCCGGTGTAGCTAAAGGCCTAGCAAGAAAGCGATGCGCTATCGCGTGGCAGCAAAATTGGTCTCGGACGCGATTTTTTTTTTTTTTTGCGTTGGCTTCGCGCAGGCTTCGCGGCATTGTTTTTCCGGCCACTTTTTCAGCGGCAAAGCGAGGGAATTTCCGGGCAGTTTTGCGGCATTCGCTCACTTCGAGGGCAAGTGTGAACAAGCCTTCCTTACACGGACAAGCCGCGTTGCGCCGCTCGCGTGCAACAGTCTGTCTTCCATTTGTATAATCCGCGGTTGCTAAGGAAATCATTCATATAGCACCGAAGCACGGCGTATTTTATATAATGTAGTGCATCCGAAGCAATTTTAAAATTCGTATTATCACGAAATTCGCATCAACTGTAATCATATCATGGAGATTCTACTTTAATAATGTGGAAATTGAGCCCTTCCCCTATTCTAATCTTTCATTGGCTCTTTTACAGGTGTCCAAAGAGGAATCAGCACCACCCGTGCTGGCTCCTGAGGATGCTCCACCACCCACTGTCAGAGCAGCCAAGAGCCCTGTTGCTGAAGAAGCTCATAGGCCACCAGTGTTAGAAGCATTTGAGAACAGCAACTCAGTTGGACCATCTACACGAAGGGGTACAAAGCGCTTGAAGAGAATGCTCCGAAGAGGCAGGCCTCCTAAGGTGAATTTGTCCCCCACTCTTTTGAAGGTACTTTGAAGGTACTAGGTGGTTCCAATCACCACCCCACCTTCTGATAGCACTTCCCATAAACTTGTGAGAGAAGCAATCACATAACAGGTGGCAATGTGTTGTTGACTTGGGTTCTGCGAATGGCATTTTAGAGGGCCATGTGAGGGTCACAACAAATCAAACGCATTCTATTTCTTGTTCACTTTACAGTTTGCATAGAGAAAAATATTTCATTGTATTTTACAGCTTTTAAATCGGAAAAATTATCAAGATAAATTTTCCGAAATTTTACCTTTTCGTTTCTTCTTGCCATTCTTCGATTCCAAGATACAGCTAAATCTTGATATAAAAAACTTCAATAGAAAAAGCATTCAATTTTTTGCAGAATGGTCTCCACAATACACTTCACATTTTTACCTTCAATATAACATGGCCTATTTCTCAGCAATTTCAATTAAGAACTCTCAGTTCAGTGAACTTAAGGGGAGACACTGGTCTGAAATTTTTTTTTTAATTTTCAGTATTTCCAGCTGAAATTTTGATACATTATGTATTTTTCACGGCTGAAAACAAATATGCAATTAGTTTTTTGCTATCGCTTTTAGATTTTGACATATTGACTGTTACATAAACTTGCATTCTGCCCAGCCTTTTGACATCTTCCTCATAAAATATTGCTACAAATTTGATATGACAGCATTCCATGAAGGCCAGGGAGTGCAACAAAACCATAATTTTATTTTTAGATTCATTGGCACCAGAGTTATGGCCTTAACAAGTATACTCATTAGAAATCTGAAACTGTTGCTTAAGTTTGTTGCTAATTAAATCACTATTGTAAATAAAAATATTGCATTTTTTTGTTTTCTTGCACTAATCAATGTATAAGCTTTCAAATGCTGCAAGAATTATCAAAATCCGACTGCTACATCAAAAGATACTGTGGGCAATGGCTTGGGGTGTGATGAAAAGTGTTGTTTTGAGAAAACGAGAAAAGAAGATTAGGAACATGCTGAGCACTTATATTTAACAAGGAAAGGTGTGAATCGGTGTATTAACCATGTTAGAAGCCACCAGGAATGTAGTCATCATCATTCTCCTTGGTGCGCTTTCTTTTCATGGCATGCTTGAAGTTTACAGCATGCTCATGCTTCTTCTCCGATGCCACTAGTCGGCGACTGTCCTTTTCTGAGCATCTTTCAGCGGCCACAACACTCTGCTGCAGGTGCAGCTCCTTCAATATGGCGGCATCTGCTCTCCCTTTGCAGCGTTGAACCTTGCGACAGATCGGCCACAGCAGCTTCAACGCTGAAAAGCGACGCATGTTTGTTTTTGGACATGAGCGACCAGATGACGGAGTGCAGGCTCTCGTTTGGGTTCTGTGTTTTGCCTCGCTGACAACGCTCCAGCAATTTCTTGTCAGAGAGGCGCGTGTAAATAGGCCGCAAGGCATCAACCACATACTCCGGCAGGTTGTAGCGATGATTCGGAGGAGTCTGCTGCTTGGCAACAGCCTTGTTGTACTTGCACCATGAGTCTTCACCAGTTGGGCAGTGAGAGTGCTGAGGGCTTGCATCAGTAGATGCTACGTGATAAAAGGTTGCCCAGACAGCATTATTCATGGCCTCAATGCTTCCTTGATTTTTTGTAAAGCCCATCCATAATATGACGTGAGCTTTGTGACCAGCTCGCCTGTCAGTTTGCCCTTGCCGCCAAGGCTTGGCTTTCCTTCGGCTCTTTGTTTTTAATGGCCGCGCTACTTGGTGCGGTTTTCGTGCGCTGCGGCGTTGAATACGACCGTTTTTGAGGTGGTTTCGAAAGCGAAAATGGTCATCAACCTACTTTGCGACCCAATAACTCGGCAAATACGCATTACAGGGCTATAATATTTTAGGAACAGCTTCCTTAGACCTTAATGATTATTAAAAAAAAAAAAAACCTAACAAAATCGCTTTTTCGGAAAATTTTCGGCCTCCCATACCCATGTCTCCCCTTAAGGGGACCAAAGGAAATTGTTCACATAACTGCTGGTTCACTAAGCTGAATATTCACTGTAATAAGAAATGGCACAGAGGAAATCAAGTCAAATGTGTGAAGTGCAACTTATTGGAAAATAATTTGTTTGGAAACTATTGTGCAATTTGTTTGGAAAATAAGAAGACAAAGCTGTCCAGAGAGTTTCCGTTTCTGTGCACTGCCTCTGGCACAGCTTACTGCTCTCACATGAAGTCTCCTAACTTTATAATATATCATTCAGCCACAGCTTGTTTTCGTCTCGCGCTTGGCCACCTCCGTGGCATAGGTGGTGCATGAGGGTGGCACGCATAGGCTACGCAGTGCTGAAGAGCGCAAATCTTCACTGAGTTGACCTCAAAAATGAGCTTGGGTCCGTAGATCATGTTCGTTCAACTAGATTATTCATCATTCAAAAAGCTTTCTTCTGTTAAGGCTGTGTGAAAAAATTACTTTTTTACCATATATACACGCCAAATGAACCTGCTTGCATAATGACCTCCCCCCCACCTTGTTCCTTGAAAAAAGAAAATAAGTTATAAAAAACTGTTTTAGTGTATCTGTTCATTTGATTTCAGTATGCTAGCCAGTGCCATTGATGATCAAAGCAATGATAAATCAAACCAATATATAAACTATATACAACGAAATCAAAAAGTTTTCTCAAGAACCATGCTAAACAGTTGCGAAAAGCGCGAGCGCGGACAACGTCAATCAAAAATTTGAAAGTCGCGCCTTTTTTCGGCAAAGCGCCTTCTGTCGAATGCAGGAGAAATTTCTGTTTTTTGCTTTTTCTTTTTGCACAGCTGTGTTTGCGTGGCGCTATAAGCAAAGTGCGTGGTTTCCGAAATGGCGGGCATGCAGCATAGAAACACACCCTGCACCCACTATCTTAGAAGCCATGCAAAGCTCAATCGCACCCATCGCGCTGATGGCAAGTCTACCTGCAACGTCTACAGCAACATTTGTGCGCCGCCATCTGATGCTGCGTTTTTTTTGTTGATGACTTCTTTGTTGGGAACTTAGTTGAGACACCTGCTGCACAGGGTGCATTCGGCCGGTGTGCTAGCTACACGGCTGGTTACAAACAGCATGCGCTGGAGCATTGAAATCGAGCGGCTGGACAACGCTTCGTCGATCAGTGTGTTTTCGTAACAGGATGGAACAAAAAAAGCTTCACACGCATTTTACGGGCCAAAACAGTCAAAGCCTTCTTGCAAAATTTTCGCTGTTATAACATTAGTGACTTTTTTTCTCCTGCGTAATGAACCCTCTCCCCTTTTGGTATCAACTTTTCTGAAAAAAAAAAAAAAAGGTAGGTTCATTACGTGAATAAATATGGTAAATAGCGAGAAAAGATACTTGGTTACCGGTGAAAGGCGGGACATCGAGGTTTGTATCGTATTTACTCAAAAATAGGTCGTGCACGAATATAGGTCGACCCCTACTTATAGTGCTCTATGAAAAAAAAAAAAAAATTCGATTATAGGTCGACCATGTTTTTTTTTTGTTTAGAAACAGACAAATTGAAACATAGCACACCTTTAGTTACATAACTTAGTGCCCTAATTGCTGCCGGGGCCGTCATCTTGTCAGATGTGCAAGATGTTGTCGTCATCGGGTTCTTCGCAAGCATCCGCAACTTCCCATACGACATCGTCCTTGCTGCCACCGCTGCTGATTGCGGGGCCACGAAAAGCACGACTCCGTAATTTGCACGCAAACAGACCGTCCTGCTACTTTTGCCAACCCCTAATCAACGTATTATTTACACAGAACTCGCCCTGCATGACATAGTTGCTAAAGTCCTCTGTAAAAAGTATCACTTGGCACTTGAAGTCACCTGTGGAGCTCTGTCGACGTGACATCGTCGCAACCGCGCACAACCAAATGGTGGTGGTGGTGGTGGTTAGAAGAAGAAAACGCCTAATTTCTTCAGACTGATAGGGAGCACTGCGCAGTGCCTAAAGAAAATGCGAACTGTCTCCTTGTCACGCCCGATTGTACAATGAACAAAGCGCGAGCCCACGAGACCTCATGTTAGTGCCAGTGCGGCTGCGCGCCAAAAGGCAGTACCGGAAACGCGGCTAGCACGCTACGGACTTCACGTTCAATGCTTAGGGAAATCGTGGGTTTCATCACAAGCATGGCGGAGCGGCTGCATTTTGCGGGGGCTTTGAAAAAGGCGGTACGCGGTTATTGCATGAATAACTTTTTTTTTTTTTCAATTATTACTTAGGTAGTCAAAAAGAAGGGAGAGTGGCCTTTTTTTTCAGATTATATGGTATATACCATGCGTTTGCAGCAGGAACCGCTTGGAGAACAGCAGGCTTGGCAGTTGAAGGCCATAAGCTTGGCGCTTTTGCTTGGATTGATCGTGAATATAGGTCGAGATGCTTTGGTCAATATAGGTCGATAGCTGGTTATGAACAACATTTTTGAAAAAAAAAAAAAAAAAAGGTTGACCTATATTTGAATGAATACAGTAATCATTTTCTGTTACGTTAGACTCAAGCTTTATAAATTGTATTAAAATTACTTTTCAACTGTCATAAGTTTTTTTCTTTTAATAATTTCTTTCAGCATTTTACAAACCACATGAGTTTTTGATTGTAGCTTATGCTTTACTGTTTCACCTATAAATATCTACGTAATGAGACCACTTGTAATAATCTCTTATATTTCTAAGTATCGTATATTTTTTATTCAGGGGTGAGACAGCTGCACATGCTGCGCATTTTTTATGCGTTTCCATTTTTTTTTTTGTGCCGAACTGTTCCGAAACAAGCAAGAATTTTGATGCCAACCTCAGCTTCAGTGGGGAAAAAAAAGCTGAGTTGACTACATGATTTTCTGAGCAGCGCCAGGAATACCAAGAAAAGAACACACGCCCTAGCGTGTTCTTTACTTGACACCTTTCTGGTCACGAAGGCTCCCACGGTGCCGCCATAATCTCTTGTTAATATGCGTGACCCCGCAAAAGTGTGGTGCCGTGGAGCGTGCTGCTTCTGCTAGCTAGGCTGTGTGTTCTGGCGCCACTGTCACTTCGTGAAAACCACTGAGTTCGCCACCATAACCGAGTGGCTTGGGTAGTGGGATTTGGACTCTCAGGTTTTTTGTTATGCATAGCATGTTCCTCGGGTCGTTGGGGTTTTCATGTCGACACTGCTGCATGCGGTCGCCTATGTGGGCGAATTCCACACATCAGTGTCTGCAGGTAGCGAGAGACCCACTTAGTTGCAGCACTAAGTACTCCTCCATAGTGCACGGTATGGAACTTGCACGATTTGCGAATCTGTGACGCACAGAACCCGTGGTGTTCAAACCAGTTTAAACCGACACCTCGGTGCTTTGTTTGTCTCTCATGATGCCTCGGCGATCATGTGGCACAGTTTTCATAAACGGTGGTTTGAAATACTGCTTCGTTTTGTAATCGAAACTCTCAACAAGCTCTTCAAAAGGCACTGCTGCGTGCCCGCTCTGGGCTGCACGAGCTTTAGGCTTAGCTTTACGTTTGACTGGTGTTTCGGTCGGCGGCCGTTTCGCAGTGTGACTGGCACGCTTCTTTCTTTTTTTTCTCAACAAATTTGGCTTCTGTCAGTTCGGCGGTTCGTTTGCGTGCACCTCGGGGCAATGCAGGTGGCAATCGCAAGTCGATGGTCATTGATAATAAAGAATATAGAACAGCTAACGGGCAGTACAAAGAACGTGTGGTTGCATGCATTGAGAGTTGCAACCTAGTACCATCCGCTTGTCACTTAGCACGCACTTTACCAGATGATCGGTGCGGCAAAGTGCCTCGGCTTCTGCGCCGCGAATGGCGGTGCATCGCGCTTTTGTTTTCTGTTAAAGGCTTGCTGTGCAAGTAAGTCTGGTAGCTTGATCAGCATTGCATGCTTAATAAAAACCACTGAAACTGAGTTTACCAAAAAGAAAAAAATCTATTGAACAGTGATGTGTGACCCAAGAAATCTTCTCCAAAAGTAAATTTCGATCCTCCAAAATGCACCTTTTGGTGCTCCAGAGCTTCTCCAAAACTTCATCATTTCTGCTCCCAAAGCTGCTCCAAAAATGTTTCTCTGCATCACTCCCTCTTCTGAAAAACTTACTGGTGTGCTATGGGGGCTGCGGCATGAGGCTGTGTTTGGAGTCAACTTTTTTTTAATGCCTAGAGGGGGTTGCAAGTTGGGTGGGGGGCTTCCATTTTTCTTCTTCATCACAAATATTTATCGTTATATTTTACAACGAGTTCGCTTTTTACGCCCGGTCAACATGCAGTTTACGCTTGGCAAGCTGGGGGTTGACTTGTAATTGGAGTCGTTTTGTCAGTGGCAATATACGGTATATTTTGCATGTTAATAAATGTAAAATGCACTTTCTTGGTGCAGTTGTGTCTGAACGAGCATTTACACTTCATTGACAGACATTGCATGCCCCCAGTGCATAACTTTAAAGCTGCATCTAAACTTTTCCTCATTTTTTTTTTCTTCTAGAAACAGTACATTCCAGTGGAATCTCCTAAAGCAGAAGATGCTGTAAACTCCGAAAACAATGGGCTGCCCAGTGCTGTAGGTGATTCGGCTGAGGAAACCCATGTGCCTCTCACTATTGAAGATAATGACATGTGTTCTTCAAAAGAAGCTCCCTCTAAGCTGTCATCTCCAAGTGACCATCCTATGAATGAGCTGGGTAACGAGCCATCTGCAGCTATTACCAGTGCAGAGGCTAGTATTGAAGAAAACCAAAGGAAGGAGAATCCCAGTGAGCAGCCCTCAGAGTTATCTGAAGAGCCTGACGTTATGAGTTGCAGTGGGAAACTAGAGGAAACTGCACACGAGGAGGAAGCTGCAGTTGCTGAAGGGGCTATACTTGATGATAACAGTGCAACAGCTGTTGAAAAAGCCTTTTCAGAAGCTCAGAGTGTTGGAAGTCCAGTGCAGCTCGTATGTGAGCAACCAGAAGAGTCAACTGTAGTTGAAGCCCAGCACACTCCTGATGTGGCAGCTGCAGCACTGCCGGAAGTGCAGCCGGAAGAGCAAAATGATGGGGAACTTTCACCACCCAGAGAACCGCAAGACGCTGTAATTGAAACCTGCCGTTATGAACAGAGCCCGAAAGAAAGTGGCACTCATCAAGATGTATCTAGTGTGCCAGAGTGTGTTGAGAGTGATCTCGTAGACTCTCTGGAACCCCAACCACCAGTAACCTTGCTTCCAAGTGATGTAATAGCAAATAATGCTTCTGTAGTAAGCACAAGCAGCCAAGAAAGTCAGGACATTGTGGTTGACAACCCATCACCACAGGTGCAAATGCCTCCAACACCCATCACTCCCCAGACTCCTGGATCTAATCCACCATCTCAGCAGACTTGCCTTTCAAACCAGTCGAGCTGTGGTGTGGAAGAAGGTACACATGCAGGCAGTTATGACTCCATGCATAGCCACAGCCCAGCCAGCATGATGGGCTGTTCCCCTCATGACCTCTCCATGGACGCCAGCAGCCTCAAAGCCGCCCAACCTGCGGAGCTCAATCGCTACCAAGAGCCGCGGGAGGTGACGAGGGCCCCCCGGACGGACCCCATGGAAACGGCGCGCATGGAGATGATGCGACAGGGCCGGCTGGCGGCCCCATCAAAACCAGATCTGAGCTGTCTAGGGGTATACACTCCTGATTCCTCTAGTAGCAGTGTTATGTCCAGCGGTAGTTACCCTCCAATGGACATGGAACAATTGCGAGAAGCTGGCCAGCTTCGGGAAGTAAACCAGCTGCGGGATATAAACACACTCAGAGAACCTAATCAGCTGAGGGAAGTCGGCCAGCTGCGAGATGTCAACCACCTGGGGGAAGTGAACCAATTGAGGGACATCAACCAGCTGCGAGATGTTAGCCAGTTACGCGATGTAAACCACCTGCGAGACATTAATCAATTGCGTGATATTAATCATCTGCACGAAGTGAACCAGATGCGCGATGTGAACCAGTTGCGCGAAGTAAATCAGATGCGCGAAGTGAACCAGTTGCGCGAAGTCAACCAGTTGCGCGAAGTAAACCAGATGCGCGAAGTGAACCAAATGCGCGAGATGAGCCAGATGCGCGAAGTAAACCAAATGCGCGAAGTGAACCAGATGCGAGAAGTGAGCCAAATGCGCGAGGTAAACCAGATCAGTCAGATCCGCGATGTGAACCAAATGCGTGAAGTCAGCCAAATGCGCGAAGTGAACCAGTTGCGTGACATGAACCAGTTGCGCGAGATGAGCCAGTTGCGGGAGGCAAACAGACACGAAGTGAACCAGCTTCGTGATATGAACCTGAATTCCTTGCGTGAAGCCAATCCATTGTGTGATGTGAATCAGTTTCGAGAGATGGGCCAGCGGCGCCTGGATTCTCCTGCCTCATCTCTGGCTGCTGGGGAAGCTCAGGGGCCCCTTGAGCATTTGGGCAGTTCTTTTCCCGACTGTACTCACGCAAGGCCCCCACAGGCGCACCACCGGCAGCAGCCACAGCCTCATCGGCAGACACCGCAGCAGAGCTACTGCCGGCCGGTGACAAGTGCGCCTCTTTCACAAGGGGCCTTTGTGGCAGCCCAGGCAGCCGTGGCACAGGCCCAGGCACAGGCCTCAGCTGGCGTGCCAGGCATGATGCAGGGCATGGTGCTCATGCCACCGGCTTCCAACTACATGAGCATCTCTGGACCAGGTGGCGGTGCCCCCTCCTATGTAATGGGCATGCCTGTGAGCGGCATGATGCCCGCTTCGGGCCCCCCACAGCGAGGTTTTTCTCATGGCTATGCCTATGGGCCGGCCTCCAACGCCTCGTGCAGCCTTGCCAAGCTGCAGCAGCTGACCAACGGCATCATGGACATAGCGCCGGGCTCTCCGGGGCAGAGTGCAGCCGCCGCCGCCGCAGCTGCCGCAGCCTGTGCCATGACTCCCCCAGCCGCGCCGACCGCATCACGGGCTTTGCCTCATGGCCAACCCTATGGGTCTCCTGCAGCAGCTCCACCAGCTGGCTCAACCAAGTACGCGCCACGTTATCAGCGCGCACCCCTGCTGTCAAGCTACCAAGGAGCGCTCAATGGCTACCGGCAGGGGACGCCTGCGGGGCCCTACTTGCAGCAGCCAGCCCCCATGCAGATGGTACAGCCTCAGTACCAAGAGCCCTCCCAGAACCCTATGTACACCTATGGCTACCTGAGTGGCAGCTTGCCCCCCCAGACTCTCAACTCTATGATGCGCCGCTGAAGCCCTGTACATATAAACCTGTGATTTTATCTCTTGTATGCTGGCTCCTTCATTGTGCATGTTGGCATAGGTATGTACATATGTAGATGTCTGCTTTAAGTGCTGGTTAAGTTGGCAGCTTCGGATGGACCAACCACCTCCTCTGTGTTTCTGATCAATTTCCTCGGAGGTGTGTGGGAGTCTGGCATTGACCTGGCAATGAACCAGGTATATTGGCTAGTTTATGTGGAGACTTGTATTTAGTGGCTAAACAAGCTGTCCATTTACCATACAACCTTGTTGCAAGACCAGCAGGGGTTACATTACGGGGCCCTTACTAAGTATTGTAAGAAAGCTAAGCTAAGTATTGTATATTGCTAAGCTTGCGTTGTTTTGCACTGTAGTATGCTTACTGACTGTTTTCGACCTTTCCCTTTTGTTTTATCATCCGAGGTAGCCACATCTAGCGCTGTTTCAATTTTTACTGCTTGGTTACTTAAGGCACGACATATTAGTTTTTTCTATGTTAGTCTTGTCCTAAATGTGTTGGGACTTTCTAGTGTAATGCCACTTGAATAAGTGTGCATTGTCTTGTCAGTAAAGGTCATAACATGTTCCAAATGCAGTAAAGTGTAAGTCAGTTTTATCAATACTCTGGTGGATGATGTCTACCTCTGGTTGGAACCATAGTGTCTCGGTGAAACTGTGCATTTCATTGTTATCTCACACACTTCATTAACCAGTCCTCTTCTACTTCACTTTCGTTATCAATCCAATTACGTGGAATTTGACTCTTTGCACTGTTTAATTTTTGTAAAAACAATGGTACTTCACTTGATAAAAGTACACCACAAGTGCCTTGTTGATTTTTGACAAGCCTGGATATGGACAAGTGTCTTTATAAGTTTGATTTCAAAAGGTCGTAAAGTATTCGCTTGCAGTGGGTGAGACATTCTTTGTCATCTATAATGCATTAATATGCATGATGTTGGTGAAATGTGCAACACTGAAAGCTTGCATATTCAGATAGCCTTGTGGTGTTGGATTTAAGTGATTAAAGAAAAATGTAGAGAAATAATCTAAAAGCTTAGTCGTGCAAGAAGCATACGTTTGTATTCTTACAGTGGTGACTTGGCACACCATCGAAATCGAGCACGAAATCGCTTGGTTTACAGACCCTTTGCATATGATATCTGTATATAAGAAAGGGCTAGCCATAGGGAACAGTTGCTGAAATTGACATGGCAGATGGTTGGTCCACCTAAGGAATGCATAAAAAATCTGTTTTTTATCACTGTATTTTTGTAGATTCAAAGTGTTAATTGCTCTTCTGTGACTATTTATTTCGCAGCTGTCGCGATGCTCATAGTTGGCTTGCAGTGGTCGTGTAACGATTTTGATTTCGTTGCTTTTTAAATATAATTTAATATTTTATTTTTATCTTTCCACTTTACTGCACTGTGACTGTTACGCTGTAAAATGTACGGAAAGTATTGTTTCTTGGACAAGAGCATAGAGTGTGTCAAGTTGTTGAACAGGTATAATGGGGTGGCTGTCATCTCCTTGTTTTCAGTGCAGATTTGTTGCTCTGTCATTTGCACTTCATCTGTTCTTGACAAGTCCTCCCCTTCACTCAGACACTCAAATTTAATATTGTTGAGTCGCCTGTTTCTTATACCCGGGTTTTGCTGTAATAGCACAGCTACTACAGTTCAAATTAATAAAAGTGAACGAGGAAAGCATTCTTGTTTCAAGCCACTATTGAACATGAGTGCTTTTTGAAAACTACATGCATGATGTACACTTGGAGGTAGCCTGGTACAGGTGTGCTGCTTTACACACAAGACCTTGTGCATAATGATTTATGCAATCGTGTTGGCATTATGCCATATTTATGTACTAGTATTTATGCATAATAGAAAGTCACGAGATGCTGACGGCAACATCTTGTCACGCTTCATCTGAGCTCACCCAATTAGCCACGTGTTAGTCTTCTTAGTCTTCTTGAAAAGAGTGCGGGAAAAAAAAGGTCTGAACTGAACTTCAACACACTTAGATATTGCAGTTACTTGTCATCAGCTGCTGAGCCAACCCTACAGCTGATGAGAGAGCATAGGAGATGGCTGAATAAACTGGTGTAAGAGCACTGCGCTGCCCCCGCATGCCCATTAGCTTCATGACGGTTCTTGAAAACAAAAGTGGCTCTTAAAAGGCCAACTCCGTCGATTTTGCAAAATCAGTAGATCTCAATGAAATTTACTGGGCACGTTTGCATCATTTATGTTAAATTTCAGGCTTTAGAGTTACCCAGATTCTTTTCTAATGAATTTTATAGCCTGCCTCGAAATGCTCACCTCGCTTGCCAGAATTAATGGTAACATAGTGCGTGTGATGTTGAGTTTTGCCTGGTTGAAGTGATGGAACTGATGCGCCATTGCAGCGTCTGCTTGTCTGCTATGGATTGTGTGGGTTTGGCCGGCGCCTCCTTGGTTGAGCAGGCGATTTCCTTTTCCATGTTGGTGGGCGTGTGGGCCACACACGATTCGCCGTATATTCAGCATAATAGCGTAAGCGTTTTAGCTAATCGCCATGGAGGGCGTGGACAGGTAGTGCCATCTGGCAGGCATGCGCGATCAGGCAGGTTCCGGGCAGCTTCAGGCAAATGATTACGTCACACATAGAAGCATGCTCAGTTGGGTTTCGGTTTTGGTATTGTGGTTTTTTGGTAATTAAAAATTATTTTCAAATTGGTTGAGCATTTCAGCTATCGGGCGTGTGACAAGAGCGTCACGGGAATATAAACACCATTATCCTGACGTGGTAAAAAGGTTTAAGGGGAGATGCAGTTCGGAATAAAAAAAAAAAACTTTTAGTCTGAAGCCTAAGGTAATGAAATTTTTACTCTATATGTAGGCTTTTATGCGGATTTCAAATATGCAATTAGTTTTAGAGCAAGTTGCACAGTTTTTGGCTTGTTTATGACACACTTTTTATGCAACTAAACTGTTATGGTTTGAGCAGTTTATGGCTCATATTGATCCACATGAATTGTAGAATGCAAATAACTACCTAGGAAGTGCGTTAAAACATTTTAATAGGCAAAAAAATTGCAATGTGAATATTCTTAAAATTCTCGTCGCATACTGATTGCTTGCTATAGGTTCGTAATAATTGTACAGTTGATATAATATTTTAAAGAAGATACTTGCAACCTTCACATGTTTAGGAATATGTGGACAGATTTTCATCCTGATCTGGCTAACGGAAGGGCCCAAAAACAGAAAAATTGGCGAACCCTAAACCTTCCCCTTTAGGAGCTGAACGCAATAGCGACACCCTGTTCGTAGTGTGTGCTTCAAAACTTAGTGCATGGACCCTTTTTAGAGTTTGCTGTGAACACAATACCTGACCTTAATTAAAGGAATAGGCACAGTACAGTTTGCCTTTTGTAGTGGGGGTACCGGCTTTCAACCACGAAGCCATCATCACATATTGTGATGCCTGTTGGCAATGGACGCTTGTACCACGCATTACTGCAATATTTCATGTAGTGTTGTGAAGCATGTATACAGGTTGTGTGTGTGTGTGAAGCATGAAAGCCACTTTCACTGCGTTTGTAAGCAGAGGAAGTTATTTTCACTGTTTTCACAAGTGGAGGCATGGCCGTTTGGTAGAACATCCGCTTGCCCGCAAACGACCGAGATTCGATCATCACTTGGACCCAAGCAACCCTGGTTCGGTCCTCACTCTGCTCTAGGGCTTTCTTTATTTATTTATTTTATTTGCATCGTTCTCTATTTTTCGGTCATGCAGAAGATCAATTTTTCGCTCACAACCGACAACAGCGACGCTGGAATTTCTGCGAAACTAGCTCTTTAATGCTATCGCATTAAAATGCATTTTAAAAGTGCATTTTAAAAGCTCATCTATGCGACAAATGTCTTTTTTTATAATGATTTCTTCCATCGCGAGAGCTTGGCAGTCATTGTTATTTTGAGCATGTGGCTTTAGTGAACCTCATGCGGAATTGTAATGGCAAGCAGCCAGGTGAAGATTTTCAGGGGGCTCTAAACAATGAGCTCCTTTCAGTTTTAGTGGCCATCTTGTGCTATTTAAAAGGAATTTTAACATAAATTGTGTTTAATTACTATCGTCGATTTTGGGGTTGTGATTGTAGAAAAACTAAACTTGTGAAAGCAAATAAAAACGAAAAATATGTAATCTTTTGGGGAAAACACGTTTTTTGACTCGCATATCCTCTAGAGGGGCCCTGAAACACTTTTTCAAGTAACCGTGAAATGGATTCAGTAAAAAAATTATTGCCTCATGAACACCAAAAAAATTCTGAATGGGGTTACAAAGATTGTCGCACGCTGCAATCGCAATCTATCTTCTCGTCCAGACGAAGCGTTAGAAGCTAAGCAGGTAGGGGGGGTGGTGGCATGGGCAAAGAAAATACGTCACGCGCACCTCACTTTTTTTTATCCTTTTCTTCAAATACGCGGCCTTTTCAGTGATCGTACGCGCACGCGTGGACAGTCGCGGCCTACTGCGGCGATCGCTGTAACGACCGAGCGCGCCATGTTCTCATCAGCCAATGGCTGATAGCATGGAGTTTCCTAAAATTAATTGGAGGGTACTCTGGGGCTGCGATCGTTCAGCGACCATGGGAATGATGGTAGTGTCTAGAAATATACTGCCTAGTGTGCTGAGCGCGCGCATTCCGTACGAGAGTGCGTGGTCGCGCATGTGATGACTGCACTCAGATGCCACAAGTGGCGCTGCGTGTCGAGAGGGTGCATGAACGCGCGAAATTCCTTTCGTCCTGTTGCTGCCAGTGCCTCGCCACGTTTAAAATCGGTGTGCAGCAGCTGCCATCTGATTTACTGTGAAGTTCGACGGCGCCATATGTACACTGCAACACCCTGAGATATTAAAAGCTAAGCGGCAATGCAAAGAAAGGACGTGTATTGTGCTGCTGTGTCAAAGAAGTTATCGGTCGAACAAGGAAAAAGTGTCTCGTTCCCCGCACTAACGGATCCAGCACAGTTTCCTGAATGAAAAAAGTAGGATCAAAAGGGCAGACAAAAGACTGAATCCGAAGGCTGGCGTGTGAGAAAATCATTCTGAGAGACTCCACCGAACTATCTTTTCGGATTAATGTGAATGGTGTCGGGAATGAAATTGCCGTTTAGGCTAAATTTCAACTATCAATATATATCTAAAAAATCGAAAATACCCTTTCGAATTTCATTCACACAGTTTTTCCCCCATGTCAACGTCGGACTCCCTTTCCAACAACGTGTTGAGTATCATATGCGGCGAGTGTCAGATTATTCATTGACATGTTATCATTCTTTGTTTTCACTCGAATCCTAATAGAATGCAGGCTAAGAGGTAAAGGTTTTAGGGTCTTCTGTGATAATTCTTGCTCTCAAGAACAAGGCACATTTTAAAAAAATGACTCTGGTGGTTATACTGTCAATGGTTTTTAAAATTAATTTCTTTCTGGACTGCAACCACTTTGAGCAGCTGTCTATCATCTATCCGTCCGTCCGTTTGTCCATCGGTCCGTCCGTCTTTCCATCAGTCTCCGCCCGTCTGTGCATCCGTGCGTCCATCCGTCTGTCCATCTGTCTATCCGTCCGTCCGTCTCTGTCTTGTCTATCCGTCCGTCTGTCTGTCTGCCAATCTATCTATCGAATCGCCTACGTCTGGGTGCCCTCACGATCACCCCCTTAACTTAGGGTCTTCGAAATACTTTGCAAGAGAGCCAAAGGTTCGTGAAACGCCAATGCTGGTTCCAGTGCTGACTATCCAATTTCTTGCATATATTTAGTGCCACTTGATAATGTTTCACTTGATAAAAATTGCAACGGTCACCTAGCAGAACATTGATTCCCAAGTTACGTGGGATCTGCGTTATTTTTTTGTGTGTGTGGGCAGTAGCGTATGGCGAAATCATGCCACGAAATGATCATTTGGTATGTGGTATTGCAAAGCGCCAGTACTGTGAAAGCAATCGAGTAGTTCTTATACAATAAAACATTATGTAAAAAAAAGACACTCCGAAAATGCAGGAAAATAGTGGTTGGCCTCGCGCGGCTTGGCCTCCTGCAGGCTTCGCAGCGCTTGCGGTGCGCAAGGATTGAACGCAAATGCAACCACTCGTACAGCAGCGCACCATGCGGGTTCTCCCGGCAGTCATCAGCTGCGGGGCCATCTCCTAGCCTGCGCTCAGCACACTAGGCATTATATTTCTAGACACTGTACTCGTAGCTCCGTTAATAACAGATGTTCCGTTTGAACTCTGGTGCAATTATTTGCTCGAGTTGTTGTCTAATCAAAAACGGAATGTGAAAAACGCGTTCCAGAGACCCTTTGAACAAAGAATTCGTCGGGAAACGAACACAAACAGCTCCATATTCAGTGCGATTCCTCCAATCGTGGCCTTTGTTTAGAACAGGCGCTGTTAAACTGTAAAGTTTAATGACGACTCTCAGCTTTAGCCAAGGTGAGAGGCGTGAACAATGCGGTCTGTTGTCAGTAGCTTGAGCTTGTCTGTGTATTCGTGGGCGGATTGTTGTAGCCTTATAGGGCCTGTAAACCACCTCCAATATTTTTTCAAGCATTTCAAGTAAACGCGCTCATCGTGTGCAGAATGCCGTCGCGATCAACGATTTTGCACGTGGCAGCGCTACAAGCTGCCGGCGCGCCACAAATTCCAAGAAACAATCTCTCCCCCTTTCCGGGCCTTTCGA